GAATTAGTAAACTCCCGTACTGATCCGGTTTCACACCAAGAGCTTCTAATCCTCTAACGTTGACACTTACTTTGTCATATACAAACCGCAATTGCGATGATTTCTCCCCAACACATGGAGCTAACTTCAAAAGTTCGTCCATATGGGCTGCTATAATTTGTTGCGATTTCCCGAATCTCTCCTGTAATATATCAATAGCCGATTGGTAGTTATCCGCTGTAACTGCCAGTCCCTTTATTGCTCGAAGCGCATTTCCCTCTAATAATGACAAAAGATAGTTAAACTTGTCAATGTTTGTTAAATACGAATTTCGGTGTACAGCGCTCTGGAAACTTTCCCAAAAAGTTCGATAGTTTGTAATATCTCCTTTGAATTTCGGTAGTACCAACTTGGGTAGCTTAATTGCAGGTGCGTAGTGCACTGTCGATCCGGGTTGTAACACAGATTGTACCGTTGATGCGTTGATGGTATTTGATGATGCTTCCACTTGGTTCGCTTCATGATTGTTCAATGTTTCCACTTGGTTCGAACCATGACTGTTCGATGTTTCCACTTGGTTCGATTCATGGTTGCTCGATGTTTCCACTTGTAGTTGCTCGTCGTTCGATTGACTTGTCCCCTCGTTGGAGACAACATCAGTGTTTATTTCGCTTGTTTTAGAAGTCGTTGGCCCAGGTTTATCGATTACCTTGCCCGTCGCACTCGTAAATTTCTCGATTCTACTACTTACATCGCTTGCTCTCGAAAACATTTCTTCCGTTTCTTCGATTTCTCGTTCGATATCGTCGATTTCGCATAACTCTAGCACTTGAGCATCGAGCTCTTTAAGTCGTATTATTTTCTCGTTTAACAAATTCGCTATTGTTCGTAGTCGATCCTTATTCGTTTCACTCCCCTGATCTAACAGCTCGATCGCTTCTTTGCTGTATCTCGTAACAACTCCCCGATTTCCCGAGCGAATAGCCTGCTCACAGGCTCTATTATATAGAGCCTGCGACTTTTATTGATATTTTTTCAATACGCCCCCTTTGAGATAATTGAATATCCGGTAAATAGTAGCCAATCAAAGCAAGTTTTGTTAATTAGATTACCAGAGGTTATTAACAACAACAAACAGTTTCTCGCGCAATTTTACGTCTGTATCTTTCACTAGGATTCCAAGGTCTAAACTTTAATCTAAAATAATTCATGGTCGTTTTTTCCCTAAAGTGTTCTAATATTTAAAACATAGTCCCGTTTGTATATTGCTGTCTTGTTCGTACATTGCCGTTTTAAATTATGTAACTATACTACAGAGACGTAAAATTTTTACTCTGTTAGTTAATGTATTTTATATATTGATATCCAAAATATAACTGTAAGATTTAAGGAAACGTATTTAGGTTTTGAACAAAGTAACAAACACTATTTATTAAAAGTGTCGAACAATAGCAGGCTAAAAAACATTAATTATTGCGGAAGTCTGTCATTTGCTCAATAATACAATTAACTCAATAGACAATAGACAATTTAAAAACCCGTGGCCGTGGCATCGATTCTGCCGTGTTTAATAACTACATTTTTTTGTAAAAAGCTCTTGTTGTAATAATATATGTCACTAGTTGAGACTCCCAAAAAGAAGTCTCAAAGAGAGAGCGGACTTCGGTCAAAGAACACGCAAACGACTATTGCAAAATCTCCAGGTGTAAATTCAAATTGGCCAGGTGTTCTAAGAACGACTTTCCTCGACGGCGTCTGTTTTAATAATTTGCCCATTGTCTTGACTTATTCAAGACCAGATTGTTTTGGCAGAAAGCCTTGGGTTGACAGGGAAGTATTTGGGAGAAATGTTCGGAGGCATTTGACAATCAACTGCTTTATACTAGCTGATTCACTGCCTGTGTCTCAACGAACGTCTCGCTGGGCTAACCTTAAGTTGTTCAACGTTTGAAACCGCAAGTGATGTAAACGCGGTTAGATAAATTGTCAGCCTGAACTAGACTTATTTTACTCTCTCTGCAAAGATCAGCAAGGCATACGTCGAAGTTTTCCCTTGTACTTCTTTGGAAAAGGTTTATTATAGCTGACGAAGACAAAGTATCGGTATATTACATGTAAACTTTTATCAAATCCCGTTGGAAGTACAGTTAATATTGCTAACCTTCGCTCATCCTTCAACGTTAATTTAAATTGAAAGTTTCAAATACATTCAGTTACTTCTTCGAAGAGATAAACAAAGTCATGGTTTTACACGCCACTGATTGAATGCCAGCTTTAAAATTACATTGCGAAATGTCGTACGAGTTAAATATTTGCACGATATTAACTCATGGGGCACTTCTGACCAATGGGAATTTTGCGTACGCTCCGTACGCATAAATCGACTTTTTACTAATAAAGGTCGCAGGCCGTTCCTCCCATGCAGCCTCTGCCTGACAACGGCCTGCGAGCAGGCTACCGAGCGAATAGCTCGTATCCTTTTCAAATCTTTGTTCGGCTCGCTCATATTCTCGCGTAAACAACTCCGATATTTTCGATTTTAATTCGATCTTTCGTCAAAGCTAGCGCCCCACGTTGGGCGCCATGTAAACAACGTTCAATTTTACTATATATTTAATAACATTTAAACACATATCACAATAAAACAGCCGGTTCGGCACTGGCGCTAGCTTTGTTATATTTTCGCCATGTCTGGAGGCGTGAACTCTTAAAAGAAGGCGGGTTGTGGGCGTGCCACACTAGCTTCTGATTGGCGCGTTGTCTCTACGTCATTACTATCATTTATAATGTTAATATAAACCTGAACCGTTCGATACAAGTACAATCTTAATCATTACAATGAATGGTATAATTTGAAGCTGACATATTAGTCGGTTGTTCTGTGATATGGGCAGCCTTGAAAGTGGCGTTAAAACAATAACTGGAACAAACCCCGACTTAGTGTTTTTATATAAACATTGTACAGTATTCAGTGATAAGCTAGCTATGGCAACTGGCCATGCAATGCTAATAAACCTGCATCTATTTGAATAATGCAAATCATTAATGACCTGTTGCTATATGCCATATATGGCTAGCTTCACCACTGACAGTATTATGATTATACATACAAAAGCAAGCAGTTATAAGCATTGAACATATCCATATAAAACCGCACATGCTAAGAAAGTTGAATTAGAACATTTAGCCGACCCCGTTGACTTTGTGCAAGGTGTTTGATATTCAAATTACACTTTTCCTACCTCCTGAACAGGCGTCTTAGACCCCGTTTATACGGTACCGGACGAATTTGTGACCGGACGAAAATTCGTCCGTTTCGGCCGTGTAAACACACGAGAACCACGGAACCGGACGAATTTGAGACCCCCTAACAGGACGAATTCGCGTGTAAACAGGCGAAAAAGGACGAATTTTCGTCCGGTCCCAAATTCGTCCGGTACCGTGTAAACGGGGTCTTAGGGGCTGTTTGCATGATGGAGGCAGGACGATTTTGATGTAAATATTGAAATATTAGTCACCAGGTAAAAGAAAGTTCAAATGCTGGTGAACAGATCTCAAATGTTGTAGAGAAGATCTTGTGGTTCAAGAAGGTTATTATGCTTGAACAACCTTTCATTTACAGTTAATTATAATCCATCTCTAGAAAATTATGACGTTTTTTTGCTGAATTGTGCACTGTGACTTATTTCAGCACATTGAAATCATCCTGCCACATATATATCCTGGCAAAGTGGGATTATATAAACGGACCCTTAGGCCAATGGAACTGTAGATTCTGTTTACCGTCCACCGCCCGCATGTGCTTGAAACTACCGCAAGAATTTTTCATTATTCTTAATTATTTTCATTATTTGTCATTATTTTTAAATTCTACGCATCGAAACTTTCAAATATACATCAAATCATCAAATCTTGGATATAAAAAGCCGTACATCGCTGATGTATGATGGATCAGTCTTCATTTGTTCGGTACACTCGGAAATTCGCGAGTCTGACGTGTGCAAATTCGAAAACAATGGCATGCATGATAAAGAAATTTTCAGCAAAGGAAAGCCCAAAAATGATAAGAGAATGCTGGAGAACAGTGTCGATGGTCGAAATCAAAAGAAAATTATTTAAGGATCATTTTTGGTCGGAAAATAGATAACAAAAATAATGAAAAATGAATGATGAGAAAAACCCGCATCAGATTTTTAAAATTCTCGGACGGTATTTAATAAAACAGAATCTACAGTTCCATTGGCCTTATTCAGCAATTGCGCATGCTGCTTTTCATCCCTTGGGGCGAGGCAGCATTTCCTTGCGATAGTAACTTCTAGTTTCTTAATAACTTCAACCCCAGAAAGGGCTTCGTTTAGTCTGCTGGAAAAAAGTTTTCTTTGTGAGTTGATATTATAGTCTGATGCAAAAAACGAATTTAAAAATTTCCGCACGGCATTCTTTTTATCACATTTCAAATTTTGCAAATTTCTTAGTGTGGCTGCGAATTTTATTGTTTATGCTGTGACGTCACAGTGATGAGTCAGTGTGATGTAAAACAACTTCTAACTATCGTAGATTGGAACGATTTACGATCTGCCATAATGCTTGAGAGACTTCGAATTTGGAGAAAGGTTTAATTTGGAGTTGAAGTCGGTTGGCGTGACAAATCACTGTGACGTCATGTCAATTTTGCCAAGCAGAGAAATTTGATAAATTTATAACGTAATAAAGAGAAATCTGTGCAGGATTTTTTAAATCATTTCTTGCATCAGAACGAGAACGGGACAGACTATATAGGGTGTATAAAAAAAAGGTAATTAAACTTCAGCGCGCTATTGTATCTGAATTACTCTGCGTTTGAACGAGATTTTTTAACATTCGGAAAGATCATGCTTTTAGCTGTTGAATGATATCTTCTTCATGGCAAATGGATAAAAAATGAGCAAATACGAATCCGATAAAAAATCTTAGTCAGAATCGCATATTTTCACCGTTGAGAATTGGGTTTAAAACCATTGAAAATGAACCCCCTTTAGGACTTTATAAGTTGATGAATTTCACTTCATTAAACTGCACACATATTCATAATTATTATTAGGTAAATTAATAAATCACGCAAATCCTTTGTGGCCAAATTGGGTGACGGAAAGTGCGGTTTCTTGGGGGTAAGGGCCCCCAGAAAAGCTGGAGAAACAACATCAGGGTGAGAGTAAGGGCCCTCACCGTTATGGACATTGAATCTCATGTCCGAGCCGGGCTTCCCCGTGGTGAAGTGACCAAGAGATGCGAAGATCAGGACGAGGGTAAGGGTCCCCGCCGTTATGGACCTTGCTCTCTTTTGCCGGTGTGTGCTTCACCGTGGGCGAAGTGTGGCCGTGTGGACACCACTTTCCGCCATTGATCGAAACAAAGTGTAGATCCCCCACGAGAAGCATGTTGGTCGGGAAAAATTATAAATAGTTAATATGAAGTATTCATAGTATGGTATATAGATGTATGTTTTATAGTATGTAATGATGGCGTGCTGCGCAAATAAGATATATGGTGTCCACGAGATACTAACACTTATGCTACGGCTGGATAATCAGGGAGGCCAGGAAAAAACCTGCAGTACAGGAAAACCTGGGTAGGGCCAAGACCACCAGTGGCTCCCCACATAGCTTTATCTTTACAAAATTAAGAAATGTCAGTATCGCGCTAGACACCACTAAGCTATTCTGTTAACGCATGCGTTATTTGTTTTATTGTTTTTGGTTTGTTTTCGTTTTCTTTTCTTTTTTTTTTTGTTATGAAACTACGCTTTTGAGCATAAATAAGGGAACTAAACGATCAGAATTAATTTGTCGCAATCCAAAGCAGAACGCCACCGCACAGTAGACAATACATATATAGTTCAGGTAATAGAATGTAGATTATGTCATAAATAGTTCATATATACGTAAAGAGTTCATAGCCATTAGGACGTAGGAGTGATCCAGATAGGTGATGGAAGGCGGAAACCAAGATGGCGCAAATGCTGAGATCTTCTTCGTGTCCTTCCTTCGTTTGTAACAGAATGACTAAAAGAGAGACGGAGAAAAGCAAAAACTGATCTGTGTATAATCATGAGCTGGTCGATAATAGTTGTCTCAATGCGCGATGAATAAATTTGTAGTAGAATGCGAGTGCTCTACTACCCCTTAATTTGGCTTTGTCTCGGTGTGTGATACACTGTAGTGAACTGTGAAGTATGTTTTGTTCTAATTGCATCTTAGCTAAGCTACGACACGTTTGTGATTAATTGCTTTCTCTTTTGTTATGCATTGTTTTAATTAGGCACAGAGGTGAAAATATGCGACTTTGACTAACATTTTTAATCGGCCTCGTACATGCTTATTTTTTCTCTACTTGGCATGAAAGGCATGTCATTCAATAGCTAAAAGCCTGATCTTTCCGAATACGATTCTTCATACGCCGAGTTATTCACGTATAATAGCCCGCTGAAGTTCGATTACCTTTTTTTTTATACACCCTGTATAACCTCAAAAATTAAAATTGAAGATTTCGACCTGGAGATAAATAATTGATATGATGATATCCATTATAACAGAAATACGAAACTTTAGAACGTGCAGTTCAGATATATTGATACGGATGCGCTACATATTGGATGGCCTAAATGTATTGGTTGCACTTGTCATTAATGCAATAACAAATTGGTAATGCCTTATAGTGGTAGCTGTTCCAGTTCCAAAAAACAATATTAGATAGAACGTGCAGTTCAGATATATTGATACGGATGCGCTACATATTGGATGGCCTAAATGTATTGGTTGCGCTTGTCATTAATGCAATAACAAATTGGTAATGCCTTATAGTGGTAGCTGTTCCAGTTCTAAAAAACAATATTTTACGAACGAGCGCAGCGAGTGAGTAAAATATTGTTTTTAACACGAGAAGATAAAAGTAGTCGTATCTTCAAGGCCTACTTTGGGGGCCAAGGTCGCCGTTATTTAGGCGACTTTGGCAATTTTCAAAGAAAAGTAGTATGCGTCGCTGGGCGAAACTGGGCGAAATTAGGCGATGTTGGGCGAATAGACTGTTAGGCAAAGTTCAAAAATTGGGTGCACATGGGCGAAATTAGGCGATATTAGGCGACCTTGGCCCCCAAAGTAGGCCTTCTTCAAGCCACTGTGTAATGTTCTGTTTATTATATAATCCCAAGCAAAAAATTGTCAAAGAGTAATCTGCATGGTGTTTAAAGTTATGTTTTTAAAATTAACTGTCACTGTTCTTGTATATTGGTATCTTCTTGGAAGTCGAAAGATAATTTGCTTTAGTTTCAAAACGAACAACTGAGCCATGACTTTGGTCTTTTGTGAAAAGTGAAAGTTAACTGCAAAGCCAATTAATATAGCTTACAGCAGAGAAACGCAATAACAATCCCAGTTTGCAAATCAGAGCGGAAGTTATATAAAGGCAAATTACTGATAGTACACTGATATTTCTTTCCGGAATAAACAAATAGAAGGCTGTATCACAGAATAAAGATCCACACAGAAGGGCCACTTACGTCGGAAGCTTTGAAGTCTCTGTCCCGCTGGCCGCCATCTTCCTAGCCAGTCGATTACATATTCTGGCCAATAAACGCGCTGTATTGGCTGGAGGCCCCGCCTTCTGGCCAGTCAACTGCATATTTTTGCATTAAACTGATGGCGACACTTGCACCGCTGAGCGGCCCTTCTGGTACTAATCTTTATTCTGTGGCTGTATCATACATGCATTAGTAGCGTCAGTGAAAATTATTAAGCTGCTTTATTTTTATTTTGTATTATACTCCTACACATTTTGCAACACACATACTGACATACATTCATCACATACTTTATTGCGAGTATATTTAACATTCACCGCATTAAAGTTTGATAGGTTTTTTCAAATACCACTCTTCCGAGGAGTAAATTTCTGTTTTAACTCGATTTCTAAACGACTCTATTGGTAGCCAAAATGACTTTCTTGAAAAGGTTGTCAGCCAGAAGGAGTCAAAATACTTAAGTCTCGAGAAATTGTGGGAAACTGGGGCTGACTTTAGAAACTTCCTTTGAATGCTTTAATACACCTATGAAAGGAAACGGATGTACGGAGTAATGCACAACTTCTGTTCTGATTCGCGGAAGTGGGATGACTAGTCATTGCGTTTGCTCTGCTGGAAGCTAGCATTCTGTTGGCTTTGCTGTATAGCTTTCACGTTTTCACAATAGCGCAAAGTCATGGCTTAGTTGTTTCTTTTGTAAATAATTCAAATTAACTTTTGACATCTAAGAAGATACAAACACAGGCACAGCGACAGTTAACACCATTTTAGGGAACAGTTTGCAAAAGCTCTGTGAAAAATGTTTTAATGTCTGAAGAATTCTGAAGGTTTTTCAAAATTTGGTTCTTCAGAAGACTACTCTTTGATGTTTTAAGCCCCGTTTACACTACCCTCAATTTTTGGTACGGCACGGATAAAATTGGTACCCGTACCACCTTTTTGGTTCTTGGACTACCTATTTAGGTAGTCCAAGAACCAAAAAGTGGTACGGTACCAAAAATTGAGCGTAGTGTAAACGGGGCTTTAATCTAATTATCTTTCGGCCTGTATGTCGTCGCAAAGTATTCACTGGGAAAACACGTAAAATGTAAGTATTCTATTCGTCGGACTTCTCGCGTTCTCATATGATTTTGTATACCATAAATAGTTTTCTCTATGTTAACCCTACCTGCTTTTACGAAGGATTGCAATTGTTGCTCACGGTTTCTTATAACCTAATGTAATTTCTTATTAATTGATTTGCTGCATACCTCATTATATGTGTCGTTTTGCCACTTTCACGGAGAATAATCAACAATTATATACAGCGGATTGAGAGGGATCAAACTGCTTGAAATATATAAATAAAACTTCGCTCGAAACGTCGACGTTTTACTTGTATTTTTCACGTAGTTGAATTCCTCTCAATCCGCTGTTTTCTGGTGTTATTATCACTACCTACGCTGGCACAGATTGTTTGAAGGGGAATTAGGATACATGCATAGGCTATGTATCAAGACTATCAAATGTGTTCAATGTGGGATATCGATAGAGTGAAATATCTGACTTATTGGGTGAATCTGTGAAAATAAGCATTATGTATGTAAGAATAAAAATGAAACCAGATGGGCGTTGTCGTTAACAAAGGATGTAATTTATGGATGCAAAATTTTATATCTATCATATATATATGTTTATGTGTATATGTGTGTGTATATGTACGTTGTATATGTGTGTGTATGTACATTGCATATGTGTGTGTATATGTATATGTACATAGTATTTAACATGTTTTGCAATTACCCTCCAGTGGTCTCATTCCTAAGATTCTTTAGCTGTTTATTGACAAGCAGAGTTTCAAACATTGTGTCTTAAGAAATTGTGCATGAACGTTATTTATAGCTTTTCTATTACAAAATTTACCCGATTCTTAACCAAAAGTTGCTTTGTTGCTGACTTTCGACTGAGTAATACTTTTATGTTTTCCAAAAACTAATGAAGCCTTAGCTTGCATAAAAGATATAATATATACAATGGTGTGCACATTATTTATAGAAATTTCGATTCACTCAAACGCTGAGCAATCTTCACAGTTCACAGCAATATCAGTGTAAAATCCAATACAGTTTGCGGTTTGACCTGCAGGCTCAAAATTACATAAATTGCAGATGGTTAGGGCTATTTCAGATCCGTCAGAGCACCTAGTCACCAGGCTTTTTCTGACACGGCCACAAAATTCAATATGGCGCCTGACAAGGAGTGGAAGTAATTGTTGTTTTTTCTTTATTCTTCGAAATATTTTTGTTGTTATTTTTTTGTAGTTATTTTGATTTAAAATTCAAAACTACGCACCTCATTGGACAATAAAATTTGAAACCCATTTAACTGCCAGAACTGTCAAACTGAAACTTGCAGTTTTTCACACGCCGCTTGCAACGAATTGTGATCACGAGGTACACAGATATGTCCTTCGTAATTGACAAAACTGTCAATGACAAACCGCCTAAAAAACGGTCGTTTCGCAGTTTACTGGGAACAATAGTACTTGTATTAAACATGGAGGTTTGTTTGTACAAGGAGTTAAACGAGTTCAGCACAGCTGATTTTTATAGCGAGAACAAGAATAAACGCGGCAAATATTACGAAGTTGAGCATGCAAGAGCGCTCTGTATGTAGTTTTAGTTTCAAGGCGTCTCCTGAGCGAGACTCGTTCTGACCTGAAGAAAGGTTCTTGCATATTAAATTACATTGCCTGTGGGCTATTAAAACAGCAATTCCTTGGCCCGCGCTACACTTTCATGAGATGAAATCATGGTTTGTTGCCAGCTCACGTTGCATGCAGAAAAATCAGAAATATTGTAATCTTCCTCGTTTTATTCACAACACCTTGGCAGGTCTACCTCACTTGTAGATTTTTAATGATATCTCCGAACAAATAACTCAGCTGTGATTTTCGTCACTTTGCCAAAAATTCAATTATCCTGGAACAACCCTGAGAGGGGAGTCATCCGGTGAGACAAGTAAAATCTCATGACATGTAAACAGCACTACTGTTTTAATAATGAGCCGAGACAATTGCTTGCCCCTGTTCACATGAGCCCGGCCGACAGCTTTAATATGTCCAAGGCCTAAAGGTTCCAAGATTCCGACATTCCAGATTCCGTGTTTTACACCTTACCAACAACATACATACATAATAATGTTGCACAATTTCCGGTCTGATTCAGAACTGGGATGGACTTCTTGGAAAACACAAAGTACATAGCAACAGCTATGTTCAGTTGAAACCTCGGAAATATTTGTCAAAATTTCATCCTTTTATCACAAAGACTGTACTTTTTGGTGACTTGGTGCTTCAATTTGATCAACATTTTAACTCTTATGCGATTTTGTTCAATATTAAAAACCATGTAAATTAATGTAAGTATAAATTTGTGGGACTTTCTCAATAATTTGTTATGTTCATGGCGCCGAGGTATATTAATATCAAAAATGTTTCTTCTTGCGTCTTATCCTGCTTTACTTGTAAGGCGTATAATATTTGCGTCTTGTGGTTTTACCCAATCTACCGCTAATGCAGCTTATTGGAAGACACGCAATTGATTTCCTGTTTGTTTCTAATGCTACATATACAGTGCGTTTGTGTCGTTTCCCAGCCGCTTTGAACCAGAATTCTCATTCATAGGCAATATATGTCAGTCTATTTGGCATGCGATATAATATTTGACATATTGGGATTGAATTTGATGCAAAAACTCTTACTACAGTATTTAGTAGTCAAATTGAAACTGCAGAGGCGTTTCATCAATGCATGTTTCGGGCAGATGTAATATATGCATGCGTGCAAGGTTTTATATCTCTATCAACGATCTCATTCTTATTAATTAAGACTCTTTATAAGACTGAAAACAGTAATTTTGTAGAGACTTAAAAGTTAATATTAGATTTTTAGGACTAAATTTTAAATATGAAATTATACCTTTTTCCACAGCCATAGTCGTAGATTAACGAAGCCGGAAGCACTTCCGTCCACACAAGATACTGTAAAACATTCGACGCTTGAACTTTGGACAATCATTACAAAAATATCAGTTTTAATGCATTGCAAGATCCGAACGATATATGTGTGTTTGAAAATGATTTAGACTGAAGATACTGACACTTTATTTCATTGAATTGTTATAAGGATTAAGGAGTGGCATAATGGCATTTACTATTTATTGTTTCGCTTTTGGCCACTAATAATTTTAGTTCAAATCCAGTTCAATTGCATTTTTATCACAATAATTTTTAAGAGATTTAAAGTTATATTTTAGGAAATTATAAACATAAAATTGAACCTTTTTCTTGTTTCGCAGATTAACGAAGCCGGAAGCACTTCCGTCCATACAGGATTATTCAACAGTGGTGAGTATGTCAGTTTGATGCATTGCAAGATCCAAAAAATATAGGTGTGTTTGGAATCATTTAGAAAGATAACTGACAGTTTATTTCATTGAATCATTATAATTAAGGAGTGGCATTTATTTGTTTCACTGTTGGCCACCCCATGCAGTTCCAATTGCATTTATATCAATCTAGCAGGTTACTCTTTCCTGAACCTGTAAAAGCAAGCTTTGTGATTGGTGGGTGGGGGAGGGGAGGGGTCTGAGAAGCACTGGCCTCCCAAGTATGTAGATTCCCCAAAAAATTGAAGCAAATAGCAGGGAAAATTGGGGAAACTTATAAATTAAATATGTTAAAGATAATTCCCACTCCGTTCTACATATCAGTTCTGCTCATAACAAAGGGGGACCCCAGATATAAGGAGTGGACATCATCTTTAAATTTATGTTATTTTGTTACAATCCTTAAAAATTTGGTCTTTGGGTTACCTCCTCCCAGAAAGGATTGACCCTGATACTCTTATGCTTCATATTCATAGCTTTGTGGTGAATAAAATTAATGTGGGTTCATGCGAGCCTGCAAATATTCAAATTCTAAATTTTATGTGTGGTTCAGGATACCATTTCTTCAATGTTTTTATTTCAAACGACCCTTCCAAGTCTTGTCCACAGCCATCCTTAACCCACCAACTTGCATTGCACCCTAATGCGCCCTACTTTTCTATTTTAATCTGTCTAACGCTACCCTGGTTCCAGAGGTTTATTTTTCCTCTCCCCTTCGCAATGAAAATAATAAAAATAAACCTCTGGAACCAGGGTAGTCTAACGCTTAATGTGGTTTACATGTAGTTTGAATAAAACTATTCATGTAGATACAGTTTGAACAGCTGTGTTAGCTAACTCACTTGTATTAAAAAAATATTACATATTCACATGTATATAAGATACATATATATATCCACACATATATTTTAGGGGATATTAACACATATCCCCTAAAATGGGGTTGAGGCTAGTTGCAGTGGTAGGGTGTGGGGTGCACTGAGGTGTGACAAAACAACGCAGTTATAATAATTTGCACTCAATAGCTCACATACGTGTGACAGCTGGAGTAATACCTGACCAGGAAACTGTTGAAGCCATTATTGACTGGCACCTTTGTGTGCTGAATGTCTAATACCTTCGATCAGGGTGGAATAATGATACAATAAGGATAACAGTATACTGCCCACTGCGCATAAACTGTCACAGAATTGATCATTACTCTTGGAGTGCCTGTTACTAAGGGGTTGATGTTGATCAAATCCTGATTTGAAGGTGGAAACTGGTTTGTTCATTGTTGAATTGTTTCAATGGGGAATTAGGCTTGCAACGCAAGCTAAATGTTGATGGTGCAGCAGGGTCTGAGACAGGAATGATTGCCCAAGTTCATCTAGTCGAAATTGGATTTGTTGCTGCAATGATGATCTGGAAGTGTTAGCATGTATGGATTGAGTCTGGTGGTGTGTTAGGGAAAATCCATCTGTTATTCGGAAGCATTGTGTTATATGTGTGGGGCATGTACCACCTGGAATTTGTGGTGTATAGTTCTTTTGTTAAGGTAGCACTGTCTAAGAGGAAGGGTTTGTGAACTACACAAATTATCAGATTATTGTATCCAGTAGTACGAAGGATCTGATTTTGTCGAGGGGAGTTACAGTAGCTACGGCTAAGCCGCTAAGGTTTCACCGTCTAACAGTGCATAGCTTGCTCAGCTCACTCAAGTGCTTCCTACCACAGTTATCTGTCAACCGGTGTTTCAGCAGAGGGGTTCAGTGGATGAGAATGGGAAAATTGTTTCTGGAATAGTCTTTGTTAAATTTAGTTTAGGACCATGCTGTAGTTGAGCTCTACATGTACCATATCCCATGTTTTAATAGGTTTTCAGGTTTTAATAGTTACTGGAATGGTAGAATGCCGTTCTGTTGTTGCTGCAAAGGCATACAAACCTGAATATTAATTGGGGTAGATTGGGAGGTTGCATATAGTAAAAATCTGCGTAAAAGAACCAGTGGTTGAAGAATCACGAGCTTGAAATTCAGCAGTACGTTTCTATACGATATTGTTGAAGTGGAAAACGGCCTTTACAGGAATACAGGACACGGACTGTAAATTATAAATAAGGTTTTTGACACCTGAAAAAGCTATACTTAGGTTTAAACACAGTGATCAATTCATACCTCAGTACTCTGATCAATATTTATATAATGACTATGACTGGCGTGTAACTAGGACAAAAGACGGGTAATTGTGTTCGAAAGGCCCTCTGCTGAAAGGCCCTCTCCTCTCTAATTGGAGCCGTGGGTGTATTAAATTTTCATGGGATTCAAATGGGTCTTCTAGAAGAGTTGGAATTGCAAGGATGAGTGATGGGTGCTTGGCCGTGAGTTGTAGTATGAGTGCATGGTCTCCACTAGCCTGAAAACAGACCTACGTTTCGCCCGCCCTAAAAGGCTAGGTTTCCACTAGTATTGCCACATGGGGGCAACTATAGTAGTAGTTCGCATTATATTCAACAAGGTTTTGGGATGGAACTGTTTGATGGGAACGCCGTACCCTTTCTAGTTGGTTAGCAAAGAGATTATCTATTATCTCTGTCCATGAGAAAGGTTGTTGTATTATTTGTGGTTGTATTTTCCAGTCCCTCAAGTTAACTCTCTGTCCGTCTGAACGTTGGGGGACAACCGGGTGGTATTCTGCAGATATCAAAATGTTGTGTTGAAGACAGTTCTACAGTTTGGGTGTTGACGCGAGACCAGACAAACGAGTACGCTCTTACTTGTTTTTAAAGGCCACCGCTATGCGTTGTTTTATCGAGACGATGTTTCAAGAAAATTTGTTCGGCTATTAGACCTTTCTTATAAGTATGGCGTCAGCATGCATAATTTTTTTGTGACGTCAAACGCGGATAAACGCTTCGGCTTCGGCTTCGACGGTACGTTTTCGCTAATTTTATTTATTTAACTCAGTTATAGTAGCCTAGGTAAGACGTGATGTGTTCAATGCATATTGATAGTATTTAGTATATATTCCCCTCTCGAACGTTGTCAATGCGACTGGAAAACAAAGCAGTATTTGGCTATATACGGATACGAAGACGAGAGAGATTGTCTCACTATTTTACCTCCGATTTTAAGTCTATGCTTTACGTATTTCTAAACTATTTTTTGTGTTTTATCAAAATTCAACAGTCAAATGATACATCCTTCATAAGACGTACCCGACTGCAAATTATCTGGAAATTGTTATAATTCGGCCTTTAAGAAGAAAATATCCTTCATGAACTTCATATTGTGACTGGTTCATTTTCTTTTCCAATGGCACTTCAGCTTTGAAGATGAACACGGGTATAATGTTGTGATATTTCAAATCTATTCAAATCTTGACACCTTGCTTGGCTACATGTAAACTACTGCTTAACTTTTAAGTTCTCATTACTGTAAATGTCATTAGTATATAGCAAGTCCTAAAGTGAATATAACAAATCCTAAAGTTGATTGGTCAAATTTGACGTATTAAGCTTGCTGTAACTATATCCCAGGCTTGCCCAATTTTAGGGACCGCCTGCCATGCAGGCTACTATATGCACGGACTTAAAATCGAAAATAAAATAGTGAGACAAACTCTCGTCTTCGTATGCGCAGTCATTAGTGCTTTGTTTTTCAGTCGTATTTACAACGTTTGAGAGGGAAATGTATACAAAATTCTATCAACATGCATTGAAAACATCACGTCCCATCTACCAACTGATTTAAAGGTGATGTAAAGTTCGTTCTGCGCATACGTTATGCGCAGACCTACATTCCAATGGTCGGGACCCGACCATTGGAATGTTGTTAATATTTCGCACCTTCTTGAATTGAATCTCTAGAAAATCGAACCCGTATAGTGTTTATCACACTTGTTTGACGTCACAAAATAATTTATGCATGATGACGCCATACTAATAAGAAAGGTTTATTGTAAGACATTTATGAGGAGAAGGCTTTCTTTGATGTTGCAAACGGCTGTTGGTTGACAGATTCTTCATGCTGCCCCTCATGCACCCCATTTTGGAGGCGTCTGAGGTGATTGTCAGTTCACAAATTACATATAGAGCCTGACACAAGTCTTGATGGCGGTATTGCCTTGCGACAATTTATCGACACCCGCGGTGTGGAGGCCCTTGCTTGCGAGGTTGCTTGGCCTTAAGTCATAGGAGAAGTTAGAGGGTGAATAACATGTGAAATTATTCATTCCTCTTTATGTTTTAACCGAAACTTTTGAGAAAAACAACCTTAAGTTTGTTATTATATGTTTTGGCGACTTAGACCACAGGCGGCCCAATCTCGCAAGGGTCAGTATAGACTTATAGTATAAATGTATATTATAGTAATGTATATTATAGTAAAAACATGTCATAAAATATAAATTTTAAAATGAAATTGACTTGCCTATTTGATAGTGTGTGTTCTCCTTTTATTCCTCCTTTGTTGGACTAATATTTTCCGAGACTTTATACTCGATGTTACTAGTATACATGATACATGATACATGATAAAGGCTAACGATTTCTGATCGTCGATACGACGGCACGGCACTTCGAATCGAAAATTCTCACACTCAAATCGCTTTATTCTCAAAAAAAATTCGCCAGCATGTAGAACAGATGCCGTTCTTCGAAAATACGGAGATACTTCGGCGAGATGTACATGTTTTGGACCATATTTTAACAATGGAAATCAAAACCATTTTATATTGAACTTGCCCAGGCCGAAAATTACTACGGCGAACGCCTGCGCAACCAGGCCTCCTTTACCGTTGGGATTTACAGGGGGGGGAGCAGATATTTCCGGTAACAGCCAGCCAATCGCAACCGTGATAGCGACTGTTTACATTATTTGAACATTGATATTCAAAATAAAAACTCCTTCGATCAGATACTGTATAAAACTCGAGATGTTGTCGAAGAAAAGAAAACTAAACGACGGAGATTGTAGGAATTTATGGAAGAAAAAATATACAGCGCCTCTTTGTTGGAAAGCATGGTAGAATTTTATTTGTTTTTAATTTTTTATGCACAATATGATCGAAATATGATCGTTAATATATTAATATATTAGTGTCATCCTCCCCCCCCCCTGTAAATCCCAACGGTAAAGGAGGCCTGGTTGCGCAGGCGTTCGCCGTAGTAATTTTCGGCCTGGGCAAGTTCAATATAAAATGGGTTTTGATTTCCATTGTTAAAATATGGTCCAAAACATGTACATCTCGCCGAAGTACCTCCGTATTTTCGAAGAACGGCATCTGTTCTACATGCTGGCGAATTTTTTTGGAGAATAAAGCGATCTGAGTGTGAGAATTTTCGATTGGAAGTGCCGTGCCGTCGTATCGACGATCGGAAATCGTTAGCCTTTATCATGTTTCATGTATACTAGTAACATCGAGTACAAAGTCTCGAAAAATATTAGTCCAACAAAGGAGGAATAAATGGAGAACACACACTATCAAATAGGCAAGTCAATTTCATTTTAAAATTTATATTTTATGACATATTTTTACAGTTTACTATAGTATACATTACTATAAATATACATTTATACTATAAGTCTATACTGACCCTTGCGAGATTGGGCCGCTTGTGCTTAGACATGGATCTTTATTTTTATATTTAAGTTTGATTTTTGTTTCCTAAGTGTAGTACAAACCGTAAGCATTCCTGGTAAAGAGCGTCCTGCGAAACATTCATTTCCGGATTCAAAACGAGAGATGGATGAGCCAGCTAAAGATAAAACGTCAGAAGCTTTAACGACACCTACAGATGAAATCACAGATAAAAACTCAATTCTTAGAATTGCATTACTAAATTCCTGCGTTGATCTGAACTTAAAACCTAATGTAAAGTTTACATTAACGAAAGCACGGACAGTCGATAACCATACGCTAACCGACGAAGAATTAACGTCCCCTGATCAAATACCTGATTATATTTTAAAAACATTAATGATAGTTAATTACCATGCACGAGAATTTGAATTAAAACCATTAACCTCAGATAAAGATAGAAATAAAAGTAAGAATAGTTATGATTCTGATGAAAGCGAGGATGAAGATAAAACTAAAGATAGTGATTCGGATGAAAGCGATGATGGAGATGTTGTAGGAATAAATCCGATGGATGGGTTACTATGGATTTTTCACTGCGCCGATACATTTTTACGACGAGCTTTTGCCATAAAATTGTCTGCATGTCAACTTAGTGTTCCGTTTCTTTTGCCAGACCCTGCAGCTTCTACAAACGTCACAATTTTGCTCTCGGCTTTAGAAAGCATTACCAAATCTTGGAAAGGTGCGTCCAATGACAACGAGAGCGCACAGGAAGTGTTTGCAACGGAATATCCATTTCCAGTGGTTTCTTTTATTCGCATTGGCAAAATCACCATGTCGAAATCATCCTTGATAAACAAAATTATGAGTGATGCTAACGGTGACCATGACTTCTTTTTCCACAAAAATATCCAAGGTGGGGACGTCAAAAGAAAAGTCGTCGATGGATTGGTTGAATTGAGTTGGTATCTTCCGGGAGGGAGTGAAAAACAAACATTACGAAATGAAATTTGTTTTGCAAATCTACGAGGAGAAGCTAAAATGTTCAAGAAGCAGCTAGATGTTCTCTTAAAGATCTCATCCGTATTATGTATATTACTACCATCGGAATATCCGGATGAAACCATCACGACAATTTTGAAAGAGGCAACGCATAGTAAAGCTAAAGTCATTCTTATTTTCAATGAAAAAAGACAAGCAGATACAAAGGAATATTTTAACGATTTAAGAAGTAAACACCGTGGAAAATTGTCTTTGATAACGCATGGTAACAAACCCAACGAATATAGTTTTCTTCAGAGTATACGAGAAAATATTCAGAAGAATATACATGAAGTGAAGGCAACACCTCTAGTGGAGCTTGCATCTTGTGCGAATGAATATGGCATTCGCCTTGACGATGATCAATGGCATTTCAGATTGGGAAAGAGCGTAGACACTTGGCTACAATTGGGGGTAAAAGAAGCAAAAAACCTTCTAAAATTACAAATACACGTCCCAGTGTTGGCAGATTTAGAACGTGAAAAATACTGTCCAAAACGTGAGGGTAACAAATCTAAAAGCGACCGTTTTAAACGAGATGCCGACGAAATATATAAAAATATTGAAGCAGAAAAGGAGGCTCAAAAAGAATCCTTTGCGCAACTGGACGAAAGAATTCTTCAGTATCTTAATTTTATTGCAGTGATGGATGAAACTGGACGAAATTGCGCTTTGAGTAAGATGAAGCATCAGTTAGATAGGATGTCTCTGCAGATCATGGCAAAATTGCATCAAGAATATCGTGTTGCTTCGCTTAAACTTCAGAAGAAAAAAAAGGAAACGCGCCGTAAGTCAGACATACGATCATCAGAAGAGGAACATTTAAAACAGTTGGAAGAATCAATCTCAAAATGCTCGTTTGGTTTAGAACACATTATCAGAGAACTTGCGCAGCTATACCAACTTCCGGATATCAGTACAATCGACTATGCAGGTGCTGCAGCAGAAATGCTGCTTTCAGGGCTGCCCCTCGAGCTAGTAGATGGCGATTCATCCTACATTCCACTGCGATGGTTTAATGCCGTATATCGTAAATTAGAGCGGAAAACAAACAACGCCAAAATATTTGTAATATCTGTTTTAGGAGTTCAAAGTTCAGGTAAGTCGACAATGTTAAACACAATGTTTGGTCTGGAATTTCCAGTAAGTGCAGGTAGGTGTACTCGCGGCGCTTTTGCTAGTCTTATTCCTGTTTCTGATTCCCTTAAGTCTGCGTCAAATTTTGATTATATTTTGATAATTGATACTGAAGGTCTTAGAGGATCCGCAGATTCTCAGTTGCGAGAGCATGATAATGAGTTGGCAACTTTTGCAATTGGGGTGGCTGATGTAACCATAGTGAATATCTTTGGTGAAAATCACAATGAAATGAAAGAATTTTTGGAAATAGCTGTACATGCGTTTTTGAAAATGAAGCTTGTTAAAGAGAAAAAGACCTGCAAAATTGTTCACCAAAATGTTGCTGCTACCGATGCGACAGACAAATTAATCGTCGCACGTTGTAACCTCAAGCAAGATCTCGATAAAATGGCCAGGGTTGCTGCTACTCAAGAAAATTGTGAAGACCAATTTCAAAAATTAAATGACATCATTTCATTTGATGAAAACGAAGATGTGTTTTACATACCAAGTCTTCTAAAAGGCAGTCCACCAATGGCACCAGTCAACCCTAATTATGGAAGAGCTGTTCAAAAAATAAAAGAAAACATCATTACCTTAATGTGTTCAAAACATAGATTTCGACTTTCTGTTTCTCAGTTTCGAGAGAGAGTTGCCGATCTCTGGGAAGCCATGCTCAAGGAAAATTTCATATTCAGTTTCCGTAATACTATCGAAGTCAGAGCCTATACGTCTTTAGACCGAAAATATTTCGAGGAATCCGTTAATTTGATTGTGATAGGTATGGCAGAGCTGGAAAGAAAAATTCAAGTGACCCTGAGCAGATGCACAACACGAGGTGAACGCGTGGAAAAATGGACAGTGAGTAAAAGACAGATACGTGAAGAAGCAGAAAAACTAAGGGAAAAAATGGAGATTGAAATGAAAGTTTTCTTTGAAACAAGTGAAGATAAGGCAACCCTTGAACAATGGAAAGAAAATGTGATGAACAGAATTGAACAATTCAAGGAAAATCAGTTGATGGCCGTCACCAAAAATTGTTTAGCAGCATTTAATTACTGGCAGAATCGACAAGATGTTGAAGAGAAGAAACAAACCTATGAAAAGGAGCTTCTTCAAAAAGCTAAAATGTTTATAACTTCAGCTCATTATACTGATGATGTGGAGAAATGTAAAGCGGCGTTCCAACAAGAATGGCAGCAATGGATTGTATACGTTCCACAATGTCAGGAAAGTAAAATAGATGTGAACAGCGAAATGGTCGATGTTCTTTGCGACAACACAAACCGGGTTCTAAATGCGGACATGACAGAGAAATTAAAGCACAGAGACTATTCCATATTAAACTTCAAGGAAATTGCTCCAGTGATTGATCTTGATCAACTTTCCATTGGCTATTTTAGTAAGGTTTTCAATTTCCTTGCACATCAACAACAACAAGTTCTCGTGTCAGCTGAAATAATCAAAGACCAAGCAGTTGCTACGGCACTTGATTTTGCGAAAATGACATCAAAGTCAGGAGTTAGGTGTACACGCAATGACCTCACACAAATGTACCACAGGGTTATTACTACCATAGACAAAGAAACAGAGAAATTTCGATTTAAATTTAGAAGATGCTTGAAATGCGACATCTTGCTCTATAGTTTTGCCAACGCTTATGTTATTTTTGATGAAATGGAAGAACGCTATATCGGAGAACGAGACATTAGAGGTGAACTGGAAAGAAACCTGCGACCAAGGTTAGAAACATATTTTTTAAATATTTGCAGTGAAATGGAAAAAGAGGTGTTGGCTGCTACTTCAGTCGTTGATGTACTTCAAAAGCCAATGGAATCAGAGCTGAGCCGGACAATGGGCCCTGCAGTGACAGGCGAACTATTGACAATTAGCAGGTACCAAAGTAAGGGTCCATTTCATGCTAGTGTCCTCATTCAACTTGGAGAAGAAGGTAAGTTTGAGTCGTACATTCCTTATCTTAAAAATCCAGTTAAATTCCTGAGAGAAAAATTGATGGAATCGATTGAAAACTATTGTGTAAAGGAAGAACCTGTTTCTATCACCTTACTTCTCGAAAAGGAAACAAAAAAGATAAAAGACAAAGTGTTCGCTGCTATTTCAACAGCCAATAAGCAAACAAAAACTGGAAGCAAGAAACTGACTTTTTGGATTCAGCGATTTGTGGAAAACTGTTCCACACTCGAAATCACGAAAGAAATGTTTGCAGTAGCTGCAATTGATGATGATCTGAAAGAAGTCGATGTGTTCGAGGCTAAAGTTCGTGGAAATGTGACACAATTTTTAGACTCATTGATCAAGCTTGGGGTGGATCGCGCTACTTTTCAAAAATGGAATCCATCGCCGCATGACCATTTGTTTACATCGATGTTTGGTTGTCAAAGATATTGCCCATTCTGCATGGGTTTGTGTGATCAAACCGTTCAAACTCATGTATGTAGTCACTCCACAAGAATACATCGTCCACAAGGTTTAGCTGGTTACAGATACGTAAAAACAGGAATATTACATATCTCAATTTGCACAACCGATGTCGCTGGTGGGGGTACGTTCCGAAACTTGGATACGTCTGGAGAACCGCATTCGTACAAAGATTACCAGTCGGTCAATGATTATTATAAATCCTGGGCAATACCTCCAGATCCATCATTCGAAGGGTCCACCTACTGGCAGTGGTTCATGGCCAACTTCGCGAAGGAGTTGGCAGAACACCATGAAGCTAAACAGCCAAAAATCCCTTCAGCGTGGAAGCGCCGCACATTCGAAGAGGTAAAAGACCAACTTCGACAGGAATACAACATGTAAATGAATATTATACATTATACTAAGTTCAGTAAATATCAATACTTTCCTTTCAGTGTGTGTATGGTGGTGGTGGTGGTGGTGATTTTATTGTCAAATAGGTTGTCATGCAGACGTCGTGACCAATGTATTTGCATATTTAGAGTTTGAGAGTAGATTACCTTCCAAAACTATAAGATTAGACAGGATAGAGCAGTTACAAGACGATCTGTTGTAATTTAAGCTGACTTGTTGAGTTATAGTCGCATTTATCGAAGGTATTCCTGCAGGTCAGTTTGGTCATAGCTTATCGAAGGGAAGATGACTGTGAAACTTATTAGAATAACAATGTAACTCATTATCTATGTTAGCCAACGTTTATTCATAAATACGGTCCTTCACCGCTACGTGTGTATCGTATATTTTTTTGCCAAATCCACCAATAGCAATTTCCAATTTACCACTGATATTGTTCGAGTCACGGATAGGTAACTTTCCTAAAACATTGCTATATTAGTTAAGGCCCTGTCACACTATTGCGTATCGGAGAGAAAGTATGAGAAGCGTATGAAAATTAATGAAATAATTTTCATACGCACAAAAGTCCTTTGAAATACTATGGCGTATGAGTACCGTTACATCTGGCGTACCTCTAGCGTATTCAGCGTGTGCCTAGAGTATGCTTATCGTATAAACCATACGTCCGAATACGCACAAAATTTTTAAGCATGCTTAAAAAAGGTTCTGCCTCGCCGTACGTCAGCATATGTCCTGTCACCGTACGCGACCGTGCTTGAAACGTGTACAACCTATGCCTAACGTACCCCTTGCGTTTCTCAGCGTTTTCCAGCGTATATGAGTGATATTCAGCTGGCATGCGCTAATACGATACGCAATAGTGTGACAGGACCTTAAGTTGGGCAAAAATACAATACGCACGTGACGGTGAATGACCAGATTTATGAATAAACGTTGCCTGACATATAGATAATGAATTATATTGTTATTCTAACGAGTTTCAAAGCCTTTTTCCCTTCGACAGGCTATAGTCTGGTCATATGTATTTTTTGGCTCAAAATTACCATAATTGAAAAACCTTCAATGGTAACTTATAACTGAGCTGAACTGCAACAAGTGTTAATCAGCAATATTTGATATATTTTTAATGTATTTACCAAAATTCATAAAACCATTCAAAAATAATCTCGTATAATACGACCTAAATTATAGGTAATTAAAAACAACCAATTGATATATAGAGTTAAACGTGTAGTTAAAACTGGCAATAAGTCAATGGATCACTGAAATTTACTGAACTAAAGATTTTATGTTTATAAACGTTTGCCTTGAGTAATATATACTTAACTGTCTAACTGCATGATGTAACTGCGTGCACTAATATTATTAATTCAATCTGTCATATAGCGTAATTATACAGTTATTACATTCTAGATCATATAGTCCACCAATATAGCATTAAATCCATGCCACTATATTTATGAATTTATTATGGTTCATTTATATCATTTATATCATAGTGATAGTGATAGTAATAGCCATAGACGCCTGAAACTTTTTGGTATCATTATAATGAATTCGAATAATAAAATCGGTGGTCTGGTGATATATGTTGAAAGACATATACTACGTTTGGCGATACGTTGAAAGACATACTGCATTTCCATTTGAGGGCAACAAGTTTATCAGTTTGTACTGTTGTGTTTTACCTTCGCGCGTTAATTAAAGTTTTTATATGTTATGTTATGTCATTACAAAGTATGGCAATTTTGATTGTTTATCACCAAATTAATCAACTGTTGGGTTTGCCGTCACATTTCTTTACCCAAATTATTACCGACTTACTGTAAAAAAAATTAAAAAAAAAAAAAATTCCAACAAAACTGCCAGGTCATGAACAAGCTAAATTTTCAGCTTCTGTTAAACATTCTTTTCTCATTTGTCGTATTTTACAACATTTTACGAAACTCTTGCTGTGATCAGTAAAATCGTGGAAATGAAGATACTCTGAGAGGAAGAAGACACACTGTTCGTCTAACCAAAAACACGTCCTTAATTGTTAAGTGTAATGCTTCAATCGAGTCAGATGATTGTTTGTGAACAACGTAGTACCACGGATCGCTGAAGATCGGTGCCATGCACAGTGATAAATTCCGATTTAAGACCATAAAATTTAAGAAACGGACGATTGGAAAAGAATGCATTGCATATTTTATATACGTACATATATTTATCGTTTTGTGATAAAATGTGTCAAGCTACTTCCAATTAATGCTATATCTAAAGATAAACAAGCACTAGCATTTGAACAGTATAATGGCAATCGTGGACTGAAATTGTATTTTGAAACGTTTTCAAAACATCTGATGTGTTTGGAAGATTACCATGTACGGTATAAACTGTGAAAGAACATCTGCAGCATGCATCATTATTATTTGATGAGATATGAATCCATGTTACAACGGACTATGCCATATCAGCATCCATATTATTGTCTATATGGTTCTTTTGCGTACGTTATGCTGGGCATTAATCTTTATACTACGATTACGATTCCCGCCTGGTTCATCACTTGCAAGTATATCAGCATCCGAAAGAGTAACCGAAAACTGATGATCAACAGGAAGTAATGGAATAAACTGCAGATTTCTGACATTTGAATTTCAAACAGTCACAACGAGATGCTAGAATCTGGAAAAAAATTACAAGAAAGTAAAGTTCGCGATACAGGCAATCTAAAGTCGTCTATAAGGCACTGCATGTGGACCTATGAAGAATGTAGTTTCGATGTCTAGAATGGTTGCAAATTTGACAATGTCTCCAAAATATTGGTATGTGGAAAAATATGCAGTTCCCTCGACTATTGCTGCCAGGCTATATTAACAACGAACTTATCGAGTGTCGTTTGTTGTTTTGAAAGTAAAACACAAAACAAAAAGATGACAATTATTAACAAAAATACAGAACACGAAATCAAGTGTTGTAGAGTGTTTTGGAAAAAATTACTTAAAACCGAGAATGCATATTGTCAATGAAAATCGGTCCTTCTTTCCTTCAATTCTTATACTTTTCATCGCTTGGAAGTTTTGGCTGGCAAAGTCTAAACATATATACACGTTCTGTTTATAAGTCGATTTGAGCAAATTGATGCCCAAGTTTCCGAGGCTGCCCAAAATAAAATAATTTTACACTAGGAATGTGATGGCAAATGTCAATAAAATGTATTGACAATTTCATTATTTATCCGCGACATTCATCAAATTAATCGCTGCAAAAGATAAAACCTGGTGTTTTAAAGTAAATAAAATTAAAAGAAAATAATTAAAGAAAAAATGCAGTAAAATATTTCAACATATAGCAAGACACCACTGTTTTATTTTCAACCATTATAATTGGTCATATATATGTATTCATTTTGTCACCAAATATTAACTATTTTTTAATTGTAATTATTTGAGTAAACAAATTAAAATGAAGAATTATAATTACTGTACGTTGTTAACGTGTTTCATATAGGTACTGGCCATGATGAAAAGACGGATTGGAGTCTATCTTTTGTATCTAAGGAACGGACCATTTGATTTTTGATGGGGAGGGGGAGGGGTAAATTTTCAGTTCGCTCGATAATTTTTTTCCGCCTCCTTACACTGTTCGATTTTTTTTTGTCAGTCAAAGGACTGGCACGATATTTTTTGCATGCATGTATATACATTTTTTAGTTTTTTGTTTTTACATTTTTTGTATAAAATAGGTAATTGGACAAGTGTCGGTGTAAGACATTGTGTAGCCTAAATAACGAGAGGACCAATATTCCAAAAATAGTCGTTCTTTATTTCTTCACTCCAACTCCTATGATGAACATGTACGTAAAAAAACAGGGAAACTAAGATTTATATATAGAAACTAAAATAGGTGAAATTTTTATGGGACACGATAAAAGGCGAGGATATAAGAGTGAGAGATTGAAATTGAGTAGGAAAGGCAACCCTCTACTCGTTTCAACCTGACAGTCTTCTTCAGCAGGGGGGGGTGTAGATAGAATTTGCAGAGGAGAAGATAGGAGAGTTTAGGAGTTCGGAAAATAATGTGAACTTTGATCCTCCGACGTAGCAAAATCCACGCCAGAACTAGCTATACTGTAGCTAACAATTGGCCATATCGTATCATTCATTTACTAATAATCTCTGTTTTGGTTTTGTTATATATGTACATGTTTTAGTTATTGTATATTCATATATTTTTTTAAAAAAATCAACCCTGCACGGTGTTATCATTATTTTTATCCCTTATGTATCACTAATTGTCAAAAGCCCCTATTCCTGTCATTTAAGCTCCTAACACCATATTTGGATGCAATCACCTACAGTCACATGATCACATACACTGCAAAATAAATCCTACTCCACCCTTACCATCACAATCATTCAAACGCACTATACCATTGAGTAAGTTAACCCTTAATTGAAGGACCTGCAAATTTGCTTCACTTCACCAATACGAACGATCGATGAACAATAAAGTGCGTAGTGTTGGAATGTCCCGCAACATGTCCAGTTACATCCTTTTTAACTATCTTTCACCTTCATTTTTGTACTGTGTAATTGGTTATTTTCAATTACCTCGTAATAATTTGTTTTTCTCTTGGTCTCACATTAAAACTGTCCTTCCTTCTCCTCTTCAAATTCTATCTACACCCCCCTTAAAAAACCCTGCTGAAGAAGACTGTTAGGTAGAAACGCGTACAGGGGGCCTTTCCTACCCAATTTCAATCTCTCGCTCTTATATCCTCGCCTTTTATCGTGTCCCATAAAAATTTCACCTATTTTAGTTTCTATATAATTGTAGTTTCCCTAGTTTTTTACGTGCATGTTCATCATAGGAGTCGGAGTAAAGAAATAAAGAACAACCATTTTTGGAATATTGGTCCTCTCATTATTTAGACTATACACAATGTCTTACACCAGTACTTGTTCAATTACCTATTTTATACAAAAAAATGTCAAAAAAAGTGTTTGTCTCTGCAAGCGGCGCCTCCAGGAACAATTGGCATATGCTCGAGTAGAGCGGAATGCGCCGAATGGCAAATAAGGATTACCACTTGAACGTCTTGCTCGATATTGTTTTTAAGTTCGAAGTGCTTGCCCGATATTTTTTGGGGATTCTACCCCCCCCCCCTCCATCAAAAATCAAATGGTCCGTCCCTAAACGTCTTTCTTTGCGCAAACGGTGGGGAATGTTAATTGGAAAACACGGCGGTTGTCAAAAGTGCCAGGTTTTGCTTAACAATTTTAACCAAACTCCGTCTTTTCCAGTAATTGGGAGAGGTACAACAAAAGAGCTTTAGACTTTATTTCATATGCGGGAGTTAGACTCGATCAAACAAAACAAAACAAATGTGATTTTGAACTATTTTAGTATTAATGTTTTAGTTCATAATGACGTTTTGACGTTAACTACAGGACAGTCAACGATCTGTATAGGCTTCGCTCACTTGCGTACCCACTCCCTGACCTGCGACCAGGTTCTATTTTAAAAATAATAGCCTGACACAAACCTTAATCCGATCGCTTTCCACCCACAGCAAAGTTTATATTTAGTATCCAATCAAAATGTCGCAGGAGAAATTTAAATTTCACACAACGACAACAATCTAATTATAGTTGTGATCACCATAAAATATATCAACAACAATAGTATAGATATAAAGTTTGTTCGTTCACTGCAACCAGGTATATCAATCATGTTTCGCTCGCTACTCTGGTTTAAATAAATGATTACAAAGCCCAGTCGAATTGTAATCAAGACCCAACGTTTCTACACTCCAGTCTAGTGTCTTCATCAGGGGTGATCTAAAACTGCGATCGTGGCTTCTTAAATACCCAAGGGATGACGTCACCTGCCAATGAGATGCATATATTCCTCTGGCAAATAGGCACCGTCATCCCTATTCAAAGCATGATGACTCATATTTATATGCCACGCTTCTAGGCAAAGTCTTTGACCATAGCGATTGTTTGTGGTAATTACTTTAGAGTTTTCCCACGCAATCTCGTGTTTGGTGTCACATACATGTTCGGCTAAAGCTGATTTTCCCTTGTCTAAAGTTGAAACAGCCTTTTGATGTTCTTTTAGCCGTGTACCAAACTGGCGTTTAGACTGACCCAAATACTCTTTGTCGCAGTCACCGCATGGTATAGAATATATAGCATGAGTCTTCTGATTTGTTTCAACAGGATCTTTTGGCTTTGCGAAAATATGGCTTAAAGTCAAATAGGGTTTTAAGGCAACCTTAATATTACAATTACTTAAGATTCTCTTGATTGGTTCTGTGACACCTTGAATGTATGGAACTATTGCAAAACCCTTAACAGAGGTATCACCCTCAGAGTTAGTTTGGTTCCTACAAACAAGTGGCCTCAGGCAATCATTAAGAAAACGCTTTGG